AATTCTGATTAAAAAATAAAATAACCAAATAAATTGAGAAACATTTCATGTTCATGGATAGGAAGAATCAATATTGTCAAGATATCAGTTCTTCCCAACTTGATCTATAGATTCAAGGTAATCATAATCAAAATCCCAGCAAGTTAATTTTGTGGATACTGGCAAGCTAATTCTTAAGTTTATAAAAATACATAAAAGACCCAGAATATCCAACACAATATTGAAAGAGAAGAAAAAATCAGAGGACTGACACTACCCAAACTCTGTAACTGTGGCTTGCATTGACTTAAAAGATTGAGGCAGCACAGTCTCGAACACCTTCAGTTTTCCAACTATTTGCTCAAAGGTTCTCTTTAATTCCATTTATCTCCTTTCCTACTATCTTGGAGAATATATACTCCTCCTCAGTGCAGAGGCAAATGCTTCCATATTGCATTTGATATGATCATCCCTTCAGACCAGTGTTCTTGCTTCCTACTTTCTACCACCAATACTGGTGTTCTACATAGATTTTCATTTCAGTACCTACCCATTCTCTAATCCTTTGCAGCTGGTCTTCTACTCCTCTACACTTAATGGCTTTCTTAAATAGTGGCTTTCATGCTTGGATGGGTGTGCATGAGCACCACACTTCAAATACCAATGGCAAGGCCAGGTGTTCACCTGTACTTCTGACTGTCCCAGGAATCCCTCCTTAGGTTTGATAATTTGCCTGAATGGCAGGCAAATCTCAGGAAAACAGTTTGCTTATAGGTTACCAGTTTGTTATAAATGGATATAACTCAGGAACAGCCAGATGAGAGAGATATATAGAGAAAGGTATGTGGGAAGGGATGCTGACCTTCTATGCTCTCTCCAGCCTACCACCTTCCCAGCACCTCAATGCGTTCAGTTAGGGTTTACAGAAAGGCTTCATTACACAGGTATGATTGATTAAATCATTGGCCACTGCAGGTGGCCTCCCAGCAGGTCAAGGGGTGAAGCTGAAAATTCCAACCCAACTCCCAGGGAACCTGTCCCTCCTCACCCCATCTGTAGGGACTTTCCAAAAGCCACCTCATCAATATAAATTGGGGTGTGGTTGAAAGGGGATTGTTAAGAATAACAAAGGATGCTATTTCAGGAACTGGGGACAAAAACAAATATTATAACAAAAGATATTTCTATATCTCTTATCATTTAGGAAATTCCCAGAGTTTTGGGAGCCAGGAGCCAGGATGAAGACCAAATACATATTTATTACATTTATTACCGATATCACAACTACTTTGTATAAAATATACTAGAACTATCTGAGTTTTCAACTTTATTGCTTTGGCTTTCAAGATCCACAATATCTATCATCATTCTCCAATCTTGTGTCCAATTATTTCCTTTCGGCATCCCCCAACCTGACTAATCCAGTCACTGTTTTTCTGTACATGCCCCATGCTTCATTCTATGCCCTCTGCCTGAAGCACTCTTCCTCACCAACCTTTACTTGTTCAAATACACAGTTCAAGTCTCAAAGTCTCATTCTAAATGCTACTTCCTGTATAAAACCTTCCCTGAATAGCCCAACTCTCTGTCAACTGATATGCTAACTGCTTCCTCCTCTGAATTCCCACAGCATTTTACCTGTATCTCTTATTCAAACGCATATCAAGGTTTCTGAGGTACTGAAGCTTATAAATTTGGAGGGAGGGCTCTTTTCAAGAATAAAGATTATAAAATTAAAAATACAAAATTAGGTACAAGAAGGGCTTTGGAAGGTGGCTCAGGCAAATGAAGGCCTTTCTAAACTTAAGCTTTGTTATCTTCACAATAAGTCTGTTTCTGGTCTCACTGGATCTTACATTTCCCTTTTAGATGATCATCTCCTGGAACAGACACTTTCTCTCTCTCTCTCTCTCTCTCTCTCTCTCTCTCTCTCTCTCTCTCTCTCTCTCTCTCCAGACCTTCTGCTCCTCCATCTTCTAAAGAGAAGCAATGGCATCTGGTGAAAAAGGACTTTGATATTAGACAGATCTGGGTTTAAGATTCCTGCTTCCTCACTCACCTAATTGAACCTTACTTTCCTCCACTGTGCAAAAGAAGGGTAATAATACCTACCTTTGGGGTTATAATGAGATCAAATGTGATAGCAAATAAAGGTCTTTAAACAGTGCTTAGGACATGATAAGCTCTCAATAAACATTAGAGTCCAACTTCCAATGTGTTAAACAAAAAATATAGGAAGCCATTGTTTTGGATTAAACTCCTGTACTAGGCTCCAGCAGACATGACTAAAAATCAAAATGGAGTTTCCCACACTCACCAAACAGAAACTGACTTGTTATCTGGCCTTCTGAGAAATCTGGAGAAAGAGATAACAACCTGATTTCCCAAAAAGGCCAGTTTCAATCTTCAATGGGCATGATAAATAAAGTTCTCTGTATTTTAATCCTTAACCTGAAGTAACCTGATGCTAACCAATCAGTTATTTTCCTATTGTTCAATCTCCTTGTTCCACCTTATAAGGAAAGTAACTTTGAAATGACCAATCCACTTTCTGTTCTGTGTTTCTGCTTTCTTTAGTCCTTTTTCTGTCTATAAAGCCAACCTCCTCTGCTCCACTAACTGGAATACTTATTTTATTTTATGGAATGAAATGTTGCCCAATTCTAGAATCACAGAGCCAATTGAGATGTTTAAACTAAATTTGTTGTCTTTCGGCAGATGGCATGATCCATAGCCTTATGTAATTTTCAACTCCCCTACAGTACCTAGAGAGTGCCTTGCAGTGGACAGTTACTGAACACACATGGTCTGTTTTGTATATATAGGTTCAGAGAAAAAGAAATGCCTGAGCGTATTACTTCTTTCACATTTTGCTACATCTCTGATTACTACTCTCACATCTTCACACAGTAATGAGGACTCTGAAAATTCTGTCACTCTCCTTATGGCTTGATTGAATTTAATTTAGTGGGCAAATGAGCATCAGTAAAGCAAAAGGACAGGAGGATATCGGACAAGAGAAAGTCAATTTACTAAGGCTTACCACTCTGTTTTTTATCAACCTACTTGTTGGTATTGTTATATCAATGGTAGCACTTTTGGCATCCATCTTGTTGATCCCCAAAAAGACATTCTTAGCTTCCTATGGTATTCATTGATGTGTAAAGCAAAGCAGAGTAATTAACTATGCTTTTTCCAATGAATGGGAGGAGTGAAGGCATGTCATTAATTTTACATATTTTTACAATGCATAAGTCACATCTCTCCAAGTTCAATAATGAAGCAAAAAATGTCAAAAATGTCAGAGGTTTCATCAGGACTATAATACAATCCAAATATACAAAAACATCCCCATTTTAATACTAGAGGAACATTCAATCTGAAATTTAAAATCTGATCATTTTGTAGTTTATAAGTGTGATGACTGGGAGCTCATGCACATGCGTGAGATGTGTGCCTCCCTCAAACTTTGTTTCGATGTCAGCACTTTACCTGATGCAAAAAAAAAAAAAAAAGTATAAAATAAAATAAAATGGAAAGCTTTTCTATTTATTCCATTTAAAACTATCTTCCGTGAGGCCGAGGTGGGAGGATTGCTCAAGGTCAGGAGTTCAAAACCAGCCTGAGAAAGAGCAAGACCTCGTTTCCACTAAAAATAGAAAGAAATTAATTGGCCAATTAATATATATATATATATATATATATACATATATATATATTAGCCAGGCATGGTGGCGCATGCCTGTAGTCCCAGCTACTTGGAAGGCTGAGGCAGAAGGATTGCTTGAGCCCAGGAGTTTGAGGTTGCTGTGAGCTAAGCTGACGCCACAGGACTCTAGCCCAGGCAACAGAGTGAGACTCTATCTCAAAAAGAAAAAACCATTTTCCCTCGAGAAAAAGAAAAAATAAAACAAATCCTATTCTTGATGAACAGAAATATAGAGGGTTAATTTTAGTGGTATGAGAATTCATTCACCCTAACTATAAGACAAAAAAAAAATCAAATTTTCAAACGTTCCATTTGAAGCCATTTAGCATGGTACACAGGGACTTTTTGCTCAACCTATACTTTTCTTTATTTCATAGAACTTTGCAAATGTTTATTGAATAATCTGAAACTCACTAGCAAAACAGTCTGTTCCTACATTGGTGTTAGTGATGGTAGTCTTACATCTTTACAGGCCTTATCTCAATATGGTTTTTTTTAAACTCTATTTGCAATTAAATGCAAAGAGATGATGTTTTTAAATTCAGTTTTATAAGAACTTTCTCCCTTTTATTATATTTAAATTAAAAAAGAAAATCAATCAAAAATATACAATATTTCTGTCTAGATTTATAGAGCAGTCCGGAGTAAGAGATTAAAGACAATATAAAACTATGTTTATAGAGCATAAAGTATACAGAGAATGATAATCCCCTTCTCCAACAATCAATTCCAATAATCAGTATATATTAAGTTCCTTCTATGTGTTTAGCTCAGTGCTGGCATCCATAAGAAACATTTCAAAATACTGCACAATTATTTATGCTTAATAAATATAGTAAATAATTTGGAAAAAAATCAAACAGTCCTGTTGAAAACTCTAAAACATAAAATAAACAGAAAAACACTAAGAAAAAAAGTACCACTTGTTTCATAGAATGTAAATTAGATAAAATTTCAAACATTAGATTGCGTTAGCAATAATATATTTCTCTTATTGTAAGATATTTTCAAGATGGAAAATCTAAAACATGTTATAATTTTGGTAAACAGCTATTTTAGTTAGCAACCTAACAATTAATTAGATATTCTGCAAGTACGATCACATATAAAATGGACTTATTTGCAGATTCAGGACTCAATTTCATATGAAAAATAATGACTGCATATAATAACTTGAAACATGTATGTTTAACATCAGTGCTAGTCTATAAGAGTAGTGTTACAACTGAATTCTACTGACACATTGCCTTAGGATAGAGGTATTCACTTACTGAACACAGGTCTAACAATGCAAGCAGTGTTTAAATCTCACCCTCTGGCCAGGACTTATTGAGAAGGAAATGTTCTCTAATATGGCATTCCCACCATCTAGATATCTTGCTGTGAGATCTTTGACAGTCATTTGGCCTCCTGAGGGCCAGATGTCATCTTTCTTCACGTGTGGATTCTCAAAAACCATAACTTTTGAGAGATGGCAATCCTTGGATGGTTTGATTGACCTGGTAGATTTACCTTCTTCTGTTGGCATGTCGATAAACTTAAAGACTCGGCTCACAGATCGCATCTGAAATAAAAATAACAATATTTTATTTTTGTTTAAGAACTACTGACAATTTCATAATTAGTTGGATATTTTCAAAAAAAACAACTTGTTAAGATGTAATGCTTGCTACTCGTCACTCGGTTATTTGTCAAGTTTTCCATGAACTAACAGGAAATAATTGGCTATAATTAAAAGCTTAACCAAAGAGAATTAACCAGGATTTATATAAATGGGCTCTGTATGGGCCTATTTATTTTGGTGATCACTTAATTCTCAGTTATGCAAGCTACACATAAATAGCCAAACAATTCTCAAGAGAATAGATGATGTCAAAGGAAAAATTTATTTCTACTATGAGCTGCACTGCACAATGCTGTACAACTGGTGTATTATAATAAAATGTACCACACCTCAAAACCACTACTAAAGATTCTTGCTTTTCTCTCAAACTACATTAATAACTAACTATAATTCTATATGTCAGCCATGTGGTGAGGGGACTCATAATGCTTAGTTAATTTTCAATAACTTCACCACACAATCTTCAAACAAATTTAAGTCATTGGCATATATTTATAGTTAAATAATTACACTTTTTATCTAAATTACTTAAAATCAATTTCTAGTGCTAAACAAAATGTGACGATATGTAAGAGTTATATTTAAAATTAAATATGTATCTGCTTTATAAATCTATTCACGTAACATTTAATAAGTTGTATCTTTAATGTGCACAGACATAAAAGGGATCAAATATTTTTAAAGGTGTTTAAATTATTTAAAAAGAACATATTTCTCTGAACAATTATGATTTATTTGGAATATGATTTTTTGAATTTAGAATTTTGGAATCAGAATATGATTTTTTAAATAGCCTGGCATATATTTAATGTAATAGTTATCCAATATATATTTGAATAATTAATAAATGAATAAAGGAGTGAAAACAACAGGTGAAATGAGAAAAATTCTTTATCTTTAGTATGAAATGATTGATAGAAAAGCAGAGGAGTTTAGATATTGCTCCTGAATTGAACATTAAGAGTTCCATCTTAGCAATTCTAATTGTATTGCCTGTTTTCACATGCCATTGATCAAGCCTGCTGCCTTTGAGAAGTTCTTTCTTCTTTCTAGTGATTCTGTGCTTCAGTTTCCTTCATCTTGAAAACATCTTCAAATTATCTTCATACTTATTCAAGATTCAAGGAAAGAATCTTTGGAAGTCAAACCCACTACTAATGGAAGTGAAAGGGGTCCAAAGCCCACAACCATCAAAAATAGCTCCAGAGGAAGCAAAAGGCATACGGTTACTATTGTTCCCACATGTAATATTTTAAATTCTGAATTATGAGTGACTTTCAGGGGTGCTTAAATCCTTTTTCAGTTATTCTCGATGAATTTTGAATTAAAGCATATTCATGAATTTTCACTGTCTTTCATTTTCGTAGAGAGCTGCTAATCTAAATAAGATCTGGAAGACAAATTAGAATTGTAACTATCATTGAGATGAAGCTACAAGAGACATAGCTCAAATGCATTTAAAGTTATCTTATTGTATTTATCCTGCCTGAGAATATCTTCTCTCTCTTGAAATCATTGAAGGAAATATACAAATGTAGCTTAACTTTACAAAATGGACATTTACAAAGTTGACATTTTCACATGTCAATTCTGTGAAGAAGTCTAAACTCATCTTTTGTCAAGCAAAAGACAGGAAAGACACTACATAACAAAAATCCTTCACATTTTAATACTCCCAAGGACTCAATAAAACATTTAAATAGTGCTATCTAAACTACTCAAAATTGTATGTAGTGTTATTTGAAAATAAAGACTTTCAAAACTACTACTTTGGCAGCACTGGAATGAATGCAGTATACAATTTTTTTTTTTTTTGTCTGAGCACTTGCGTTTGACCTCTGCAAATTACATTCTCTTTTAGTGATGCTCACCACTGAAGGTGAATTCAGGACTTGCAAGGTTAAATTTAACCAATGGAATGTGCCTACCAAATTTAGAAAATGAAACTTCCCAACTCATACTCTTTCATATGATCTAACTGCTTAAAGTGACCCCAGGACACACTATTGTTGTTATCCACAGTGTGGTCAAATATCCCTGACCAAGAACACGATATTTCATCTTAACAATGGGCATTCATCCACAGTATATGAGCAGACATTCATTCAATTCAATGGGTGAGAACATTTTCTAACAGGAAGAAAAAGTGGCAAGTGCAGACATTTGCATCATGGCCAGTTTTGTAGCCACTAAAATGCCATTACTGAATAGATGATGTGGCCAGATAATATTATGAATTACTAACCAATTCCTTGTACCTCACAGACTTTCCAGCTTAGAGATTCTACCTCCACTTCCTCTGGAAGGAGAAGCCACAACAGAATCAGAGCAGAGAAAAATCAATTCTGGTCTTTCAAGTTTCAGAAATGGGCTTTTAAAACTCAACTCTGCTATTGATAGTTTGAAAATTTCAAGCCACATGAATATTGGCTTTTATGCTTCAAAACCAAAGCCTGAAGGACTCAAAGCATAGCGTTTTTGTAAAAACAGTAGCTACAGATGAACTCATGACAGATGAGAAGCAGCCACTCTCCTTACTCCACAATCTGACTCAACAAAGGTAGCACACGAATGGGGGTTAAAAAAAAAAGGCTTAGACATCAGTTCTTCTAGGAAGGAGCTCTGTCTTGCAACCAAATCCTGGTTCTATCCTCAAGTAGAATTGAGTGATTTTAGAACACAGGAGGGCTGTGCCTCAATTTCAAGGTGAATCTCAGGAAAGAGGCATGCTGCAGAGAAGCTTCCAGTTCCTGGCAGGATAAGGGAGCAGTAGAGCAGACATGGTTGCTTTGGATATCTAGGCATAGATGTCTAGGCATAGATTGATATATCTTCAGCTTGCCCTGTTTTTCCAGAGTAGTGCTGAGGGGAAGCCAAATAATTTAAGTATTTTGACTCATCGGGGACATGGAAGAAGCAGAGAGAAAGCTCATCAAAGGAGAGCTCACAATGAAGACAAGAAGGACAAAGACTCCATTTACCTGGACCATACACCATTAGGTCAGAGAGGAGCATTGGTGCCTCAAAACCAGCAAGCATGGACAAGGGACAACATAGAGCCAGATACTCCCTCATCCCCAATATCTTGGCATTTTGTAAACTCTACTCAGAACCCAGCAAGATCCCTGAATTCACTGATACTGTTTTCTTTCACCAAGTGGAATGTGTGTTCAAATTGAAAATAAGTTCAACTATAGCAAAAGTAAAGTCATATTTCTTGCATTCTTGTTTTTATAGACAAAGATTCATAGCTGCTACCAGGGATGGATCCAGATTTTGTGCAGCCTGAAGCTTAAATAATTTAGGGGATTCTTCTTAAGAATCAAAATTATGCATATAAAATTAAATATAAGGCCTGCAAAAGGGTTCATGTAAGTGAGAGGACCTGAAGCTCATGTCTCATGGCCTTTCTGTTAAACCCATTCTGCCTATTACAGTAACTTTGTTCAAAGCATTCCTTGTATTCAAACAATAGACTGTGCAAACATTCCTCCCCATCTAGGGCTTAGCAATATGCAATCACTTAATAAATAAATAAATCTTTGTTAATAATGAATGAATTCATTATTCTATCTCCCATGCAGAAAGCAGTGTCTATGCAGTAAGAATAACATTAGGAAGTGATTCAGGCTGCAATTTTACCTCTCAAAATATAGGCTGCTATTTGGATTAGACAGAAGTTAGGACCTACCAAACTATTTTTAGTCTCATCTGTTTGCTTTCATTGAGCCATTTAACCTCATTTAATCCTTTCATTCTTTTAGAGTGCCTACTAAACATTTCCACGTGATACCTAAAAACTACTATGCCATTGTCCAGTCGAATAGATTGTACTGGATGGAAATTCAGATTTGGCAATTGTCAGAGTGACTGTGGATTGGCAAACTCATTAACCTCAGGCTGCTGGTTCCTGAACAGAAAAGAGTGGCCTGAGGAGGAAGGAGGGGGCAGCTCTGTCTAGAGCAGCAGGTCTGCTCCACCAGCAGTGAAGTCTCACTGTGGTCACCACCAGCTTTGGTAGGAGCACCTTTCATATAGCTTTTGAGAAATAAAAGATGAAGCCAAAATGAGACCCAGGTACTGACACAATGAACCTATTCTTCATTTGGCAGAAAGAAAACTTGAAATAATTTATGGAGACTTTTGTAAAATGACAGTTTGGCCAAAACAAGGTGGATTTTTTTTTTTTTTGCTTGAAAATCTTCTGCTTTAAATTCTGGTTTTATCATTTTATTATGCTGCCCAAATTCTCTGAGCACCTCAAGAGTCAATCCTTAAAACTGAATCTCCTCATTTTTATAGGAATATCTAAAGTGACTAATCTAAGCAACAGAAGAACAGTGTCTTTGGGAGTATGACAGTCTTAACAAAGACAGCTCCACAGCCTCATCTCAACCTTACTTTATAAAGGATGCATTTAAGCCAAGAAGAAAATAATTTCTGATTTTCCTTTTCATTTTTTGTTGACAAATAGGAAAGAGAAGGCTTAAAGATCTCTTCTAGCACAAGTCAGGAAGCCAGACTCCTCTCCCTCACAAAAATATTTGCTCTATTTCCTTTCGTCCTTTTGGTTGTTTAGAAACCAATGCATCAAAGTTATACATTAACACCCAAACTACATGCCATAGTACCCCCAAAAGCCATGAGAATAAAAAATAATCTTCATACACCTGAGATCTGGCTGGCAACACTGTAAAGAGACTTCATAACTGGTTGTTATAGGAGGATTGCAAGAAATAAATGTGAAGAAAATCATCTGAAAAACTGGCACAATTGTGAAAAACATCACATTTTACAGGAGAAATATTCAAACTGTGAAGTATATAAAAGAGGATATTAACATGTTTTAAATCATAGATCCTTCCCAGTAGGCTGAAACTACATGCTTTTCAATATTAACAGAGACCAGAGACCCAAGGCCAAATTAAATCCATTAGCAT